CTAGCGACGTCACTTGCAGTCTTTTATTTTTATTTTGTTCTATTTTTTATTCCTTTTTTGTTTGAATCTCTCAACATTTTACAACAGTAGCCAGGTGGTGAAGACAAGAAAAAAGAAACTAAATTACGAAGTCACTTGCAATCGCCACTTGCACTCTCCGCTACCTGCGGCGTCACATGCAATCGGACACAAATCGTGCGTGTTGCCAATGGAGACAAGACGCTGTGGTGGTGATTAAACGATTAAAACTAATTTAGTACTATAACATACAGGGTCCTGCAAGAAAAAGACAAGACCCGCAAATCCGTGGCCACAGAACAGCAGAATATGAACGCAATGCACAAAGTCTCTCATTAAGCATTTTCCTCCTGTAGAAAAACGTAAACACTTAACATGGCGCGCCTTTCTCAAGTCCAGCGGCCGCCGCTCACTCTAGCCCGCTGTGTGTGACGCTGTGTTTCGTTGTGAAAGCGAAACTACTTTGTCTGGCCTTCCAAAAGAGGACATGACTAGAAATCAGTGGTTAAGTTGTATTTACAACACTGTTCCAGAACAGTTCAACCCAAATATTCCGATGTGTGCAGCGCATTTTATGGAGGACTGTTTCCTGATCCTGGTAGAGTAGACTACAATGCCGGCTGTTCTGACTGACAGACTGCAAGTACGTTTTTTATATTTAAAGAATTTGCCACTGATGATTCAAACGTGAGTTTTGAGCAGTGTAGAGTAGCGTTTGTAGTTTGTCACTTCTCCGATCACAAACGCAGACATAGTTTTATGTTTACGCGGCGCGATGCAACGCGTAAAAAGACCTCGACCCAAATGCCTCGTTCATAATGGGTTTTAATGTTTTTGTCTCGTCGCTCCGGCCAGGACAAGGTATCACAATATGGCAAGGGGCGTAACATTTCCGTCACATGCTTGAGGTATTCGGCCAATCACAACGCACTGGATAGCTGGCCAATCAGAGCACACCTCGCTTTTCAGACCGGTGAGCTTTGTAAAAATCGACGCGTTTCAGAAGGCGGGGCATAGAGGAGAAACAATAATGTACAGTATGTAGAAAAGAATGTGTTTTTTTAACCTTAAACCGCATAAACACATTTCATTACACCAAATACACAAAATAATGTTCTTTTTAGCAGCATCATATGACCCTTTTAATTTTTCAGACTTATGTATGTAGCATACTGCAACTTTCAGAACTCAAAACTTCCTCCCAGTCCAAAAAAAAGAGCAGAAAAACAACATGCTACGGTGCTGCTTCAGACAATCTTATCTTACCTTGAGAAGAAAGAGTCAGGAATCCATGTCAGAGTCTGCCTTGATGTGCTAAATCTGAAAATATGTAGATAAGATTTATGATACAATCACTTCTCATTTCTCTTTCACTCAGTGAGCTAGAATGATCTAAAATCCAGTTAACATTTATTGTTACAGTTAGAAGCGTTAATGTATTTTTCATATTTTTAATGCACAGTTTTATTATAGTAACTTAAGTAACCATGATATTTCGGGGGAAATTGTTACTTCTATTAGGGTATTTCTTTTGTTTATATATTTCTATTTAATTATGATAGTATTTTAGGGGGTTTTGGATGTTATGATGACATCCTGTAGTCAAACACGTGGAAGCTGGGGATGAAATAAGGAACTGAATAGACTTAGTCCCATTAACGCAATAAAAGTTATGGTTAGGTTCAAGATGTGTAGTCTGAGCTCAAAATGATGTGCTTTATAGTTTAAGACATGGTTAGCGGACACACTGTGTACCGTTACATATCAACGCTGGTTGCGTCACATCAAAGTCAAGATCCGCTACTCTTTGACGTAGCCTTTGATCTCAAATCAAACTGTTTTGACTTCGAATTCCTGTAAAGAATTCATGACGTCAGCATACCTCGTTCCTCCGACATTCAGCTGGATGATGTCACCCATTCCAGATGTTGAACTGTTCCCAATTCCAGCCATCCTCTAATTCCGTTCAGTTATACACGCGATTTGATTATCCAGTTTGTGCATCGATCAAGCTGGAGTCCTCAAGATTCTCTTTAATCTTCCTCACGACCCAGCGAGCCCATAAATTATGCGTCACGAGAAGGACCTATGAGATGAAACTGTTCGCACACAGTGTTCTCCATATTCAGAGCTTTAATAAACAACTCAAAACACGGCCTTCAACTATCAAAGGCCTTTTTCTGTAGCCTATGGGACTTGGGATCGCTACGTTCAGTGTTGTGGACGCCATAGAGCGATGCTAGAACGTTGTGGACTCGTCAGAGCGTCAGCCAATCGAACGGCGTCATTCCTGACACAGGACGCAGACCCCGCCCAGTGCTCCCGTGTTTTGGGAGTGTGTCTTGAGGAGAAAGCTGTACTTCTCACATCTACAGTCTTAAAGGTGCACTCAGTAATTTTTTATTTTTTACTGCTTACTAAGTTTTTACAAATAAAGAAATGAACAGCACTTAAAATATAATTATAAAAGGACATGTACAATAAAATACGAGATGAAGGCGCTTTTAATCTACTGGGAGCAGGTCGTCACTTATTAGTACCACGATCTTTCCATGACCAGCTGTCATGCAATTGACCACTAATAATAATTACCATAGTAATATGTTTAGTGACTTAAATGTGTGCTCAAGGCGAGGTGAGGTGACTCAGTCCATGTAAAATAAAACGGATTTTATTAGGTTACCGGGAGTCTTCATCTCATGTAAATGAACATGAAAACATGTTTCAAGTAGCCTGTTTTTAATATTGGTAAAAACAAACAAACAAAAAAATTCAAATTGTTGTAATTGGAATTGACCGTACAAATTATGCATAGTGTGCACTACAAACCTACTATGCATTACCAATATCAACTGCAAAAATGATGTGTATATAACCTGCAAAACTACTATGCAACTACTAAAAACTGCTTATATTGACTTTCTGCAGTAAAATAATAGACAGAAATTTGCACACACACCCAGGCACAAGTATTGACTGAAACATTTATTGCAGAAAATGGTGTTATTTGGGATTAAGGCATACGTCTTTCTTTCCTCGTTTTCTTCAGAATTTCTCACCCTGTTGTAGTAACACTGCAGTGACAGCACAGATGAGTTTTTTCTATCTGACCTTGTTCCAACAAGCAGACAAAAACACAAGGTATCGTGTTTGTAGGGAATAATGAAAGGAAACTATTTCTGTTATTTCACAGGTTTCACTAAACTCTAAATGGCATGTATTAATTCTTCAACCAAATATCATTATGGATTTTACTACTTCCTTTGAATGTTGCACGCTTAATCCATATCGGTATCTCTTGGGTATTTGATTGGCTTATGAAGTCATAAGAATAAACAACATTATCATCACAGAAACTTTAAAGCCTGCTAAAGTTTCATCAAGTGGTTGGACATCTCAGTCAGGTTATGAAGGTGATGTGAAAGGTGAAGAGCATGTATATGGTACAAGTGACTTATCAAGGCTGATGCAAATTAGAGTCTGGCCAAGAATTGCCATAAAATTCAAATTTGGAAGTATTCATTTTAGTACACTAGTACACACAAATAACCATGCACATTTCTGGGAAGCAAGCTGGAGCATAAATAGAAGGAACAAATAGTCAGAATGGAATGCTTTACACTTTTGTGAACACAATTTATAAATAAAAATAATTTTGTAGTAAACAAAACTTGTTAATGTACAAATTAAATATTATGGTCATATTAAAAAGAAAAACTTATTTCATACTAAATACTAATTACACAAATGTAACAAAAACTTAATGCAATAGACTTGAAGTGGTTAAGCCACTGGAGTCTGGTCATATCCAAAATATTACCTTACTGCATATAACAAGAATAGGAAATGTCAAGTGCATGGAGTGTCACTAAGCCACAGTAATATTCTTCAGTTTAAATATAATATAAATGTGTGTTGGTAAGCTGCACTCATTTAAAATTAGCATAGTCCGAGTAGATGTCAACAAAATCTTGCACAACTCTGTAGCAGAAGTCATATTGTTCCTGAAAAGACAAATGGAAATACATTATATCATAATTCACACAGTCAAAAGCCAAAATATCTACTCATTCTCTATTATTTTATGATTATTACTATTTTTCATATTGTAATATAACAGTGAAGCCATCAGCTCTATGTGAACTATGCAGTGTTTTGCATTCTTACCACAGTTTGGACCATATGTGGTCTCCGAGTGCGTAAACTCTTCACTGTCTGGAATACGTCCAGTAACCCCTCGGCTTTGACCCGCTCTAAGATGTTGCTGAGGGCAATGAAGGTTCCGGTCCGACCAGCACCAGCACTGATGTCACCAAAAAAAAAATCCAAAACATACTTTTATGATAGGTTTTAAAGACTTTATACAAAAAATTGCTGTTGAACAATATGAAAAAATGATTATAAAACAATATGGTGTGTGTGTGTGTGCGCGTTTTTGTGACAAATGAGGACATACATTTGTATAATGACAAAGGTATGACATAGGTATTACAAGGAGAAGGTGACTTTTCAGGACATTACCCCATGTCCCCACTTTTCAAAACGCTTATAAATCACACAGAATGGAGTGTATTGAAAATCTGAAATAGCACAAAGTTTCCTGAAAGGAAACTATTTCTGTTATTTCACAGGTTTCACTAAACTCTAAATGGCATGTATTAATTCTTCAACCAAATATCATTATGGATTTTACTACTTCCTTTGAATGTTGCACGCTTAATCCATATCGGTATCTCTTGGGTATTTGATTGGCTTATGAAGTCATAAGAATAAACAACATTATCATCACAGAAACTTTAAAGCCTGCTAAAGTTTCATCAAGTGGTTGGACATCTCAGTCAGGTTATGAAGGTGATGTGAAAGGTGAAGAGCATGTATATGGTACAAGTGACTTATCAAGGCTGATGCAAATTAGAGTCTGGCCAAGAATTGCCATAAAATTCAAATTTGGAAGTATTCATTTTAGTACACTAGTACACACAAATAACCATGCACATTTCTGGGAAGCAAGCTGGAGCATAAATAGAAGGAACAAATAGTCAGAATGGAATGCTTTACACTTTTGTGAACACAATTTATAAATAAAAATAATTTTGTAGTAAACAAAACTTGTTAATGTACAAATTAAATATTATGGTCATATTAAAAAGAAAAACTTATTTCATACTAAATACTAATTACACAAATGTAACAAAAACTTAATGCAATAGACTTGAAGTGGTTAAGCCACTGGAGTCTGGTCATATCCAAAATATTACCTTACTGCATATAACAAGAATAGGAAATGTCAAGTGCATGGAGTGTCACTAAGCCACAGTAATATTCTTCAGTTTAAATATAATATAAATGTGTGTTGGTAAGCTGCACTCATTTAAAATTAGCATAGTCCGAGTAGATGTCAACAAAATCTTGCACAACTCTGTAGCAGAAGTCATATTGTTCCTGAAAAGACAAATGGAAATACATTATATCATAATTCACACAGTCAAAAGCCAAAATATCTACTCATTCTCTATTATTTTATGATTATTACTATTTTTCATATTGTAATATAACAGTGAAGCCATCAGCTCTATGTGAACTATGCAGTGTTTTGCATTCTTACCACAGTTTGGACCATATGTGGTCTCCGAGTGCGTAAACTCTTCACTGTCTGGAATACGTCCAGTAACCCCTCGGCTTTGACCCGCTCTAAGATGTTGCTGAGGGCAATGAAGGTTCCGGTCCGACCAGCACCAGCACTGATGTCACCAAAAAAAAAATCCAAAACATACTTTTATGATAGGTTTTAAAGACTTTATACAAAAAATTGCTGTTGAACAATATGAAAAAATGATTATAAAACAATATGGTGTGTGTGTGTGTGCGCGTTTTTGTGACAAATGAGGACATACATTTGTATAATGACAAAGGTATGACATAGGTATTACAAGGAGAAGGTGACTTTTCAGGACATTACCCCATGTCCCCACTTTTCAAAACGCTTATAAATCACACAGAATGGAGTGTATTGAAAATCTGAAATAGCACAAAGTTTCCTGTGAGGGGTAGGGTTGGTGTAGGGCAATAGAATATACGGTCTGAAAAAGTGTCCCCACTTTTCACAAAAACAAACCTGTGTGTGTGTGTGTGTGTGTGTGTGTGTGTGTGTGAAATGTGTAAATGAGTGTCCCCACTTTTCACAAAAACAAACCTGTGTGTGTGTGTGTGTGTGTGTGTGTGTGTGTGTGTGTGTGTGAAATGTGTAAGTGAGGGAGTGATTGAGAGTGAATGTGTACCTGCAATGCACCACTATAGGGTTGTTTCCAGATTGCTGCTGTTGTTTCTGCACTGCAGCAATAATGTCAATCATTCCCTTTCCGTCTGATGGGATTCCAATCTCTGGCCAACCATGGAAGTGGAACTGTCTGACTAGACGAGTCTGCTTTTCCTGCAAACAGCTCAATTTAGCCTCAATGTGTGCAAAATAAAGGAAGCTCCTAAGTGAAGCGTGTGTTGGAGCATAAAACGGTCAAATTCACTGCACATTTAACTCACTGATGCATATGACAGCAGCATGTCTCGAATGCTGAAAGTCTCACAAAGCGTGTCTCTCTTCAGCTCCAATACATAATCTCCAAATGAAACGCTGCCCTCTGCTGGCCAGTAACGCATGCACTTCTCCTGGAGTGAGAGTTGTTGAAAAGGAAGTGAATGTGTCAATACTAAGGACATGGAATTGTGGAAGAGTAACTGCACATTTCGTTATGTTTATTAATATTAGTGCTGTCAAACGATTAATCGCGATTAATCGCATCCAAAATAAAAGTTTTTGTTTACATAATATATGTGCGTATACTCTGTTTATTTATTGTCTATATATAAATACAAACACATGCATGTATATATTTAAGAAAAATATGTTGTTTATATATTAAATATATTTATATAAAATATAAGAATATAATTATATAAATGTATATACATGTAAATATTTTCAAAATATATAGTGTATGTGTGTGTATTTATATATACGTAATAAATATACACAGTACACATACATGTATTATGTAAACAAAAACTTTTATTTTGGATGCGATTAATCGTGATTAATCGTCTGACAGCACTAATTAATATATAAATATTAAAAAGATAAATATAAACTGTTAAACTGTACCTGTTCTCTCTCTTTCAGCTCAGTCAGCATGACAATAGAGTGGCACTTCCACTCCCATACCATGCGCCAGAAGTCCTGCACAGTGTGAGCTAAAGGTGCCTGAGTTGCTATAAAGTAATCCT